CAGATCGCAGCAGGCCGCCCTCGTTGCTGCCATCTTGTCCGCCATGTGCGAGCCGCTTGCCACTGGGCCAGCAAGAGCCGGTCCGTCCATACGTCCCCCATACTGGAGTCGCCTGGAGTCCTAGGTGAACCGGCTGCTGGTGAAGCGAATGACTGTCGCGCAGGCTCTGCACTGGTAGCTGATCCAGTGATTGGCGGGCCAGTTGGCTTGGCAAATGGTGGCAACTTCGACAGGCTTACAGTGAAGTGACCTTCAGCCTCGTTGCCAACTTCTTCCTTACCACCTTCCCGACGAACATGTGCCCCTGCTGCAACTCCATCCGATCGCACTGGGCTTTGACGTGTTGCCCGGTCTGGGCTTGCACCGCCTGAAGCTTGAGGCTGAAGTTCCCGGTCTTCGAGATCATCAATAGGGCAATGATGTTCACAGACCTGTCGCCAGGAGTTAGTGTGGTGCCCGGTGGCTGCTCAGATCGTGTCGTGGGTGTGATGGATCCATGGTGGTCTCAGGTGGCTTGATCAGTGGATGGTTGTTCTGCACCATCATGCTCCCGGTCTCGAGCTTGGAACCGCCGCAACTCTTTGCAAGTCGATTGGGAACAGCTGGCAGGTGACCAACTACCGATTCCGCAAGAGCATGGGGTGGGAGATCAAGGTCTCACTGCTGTACCAAGCCTATGCGCCTCGGCTCAGACTTGTGAGGCTCCTGCCTGCTCGCACTTAGCTGCTTGTGTCTCGCAAGATCCCTACCGTCGCCCGCGACATCATCTATGGCTGGGCTCGTGGACTGGCCAACACCTACCTGCAGGACACCATTGCCCCGACCACCTTCACCCACAAGGCCCCAGGTATGTCGAGAGTCTGGAGATGTCTCGAGTGCTTCTCCTGTTCTGAGGCTATGGTCTTCGGCCTGACCATCTGGGTCTCCTGCAGCTCTGCTGCACCGCTCTTCTTGAAGCACCCAAGCCCCGGCTGTGGCATGCGCCAGGCATCATCTCATCCCCTTGCAACGAGTGGCGAGGGTACACTCTGCAGCCCCCAGACAAGAAGCCACTTGTCCGCAGAGCGCCAGCGTTCACAGGGATCGAGCCGGCTCGATCTCGATCTGGCTCCGATTCCTCTGTCTTCTGCATCCCTCCGCGAGGCTGCCTTTCAACATCTACTTCAAGCCCATCAACTATGCTCGATCCACAGGACCGAGCAAAAAACCAGGGCTAGAGGACGAGAGTCCCGAAAGCGTGTGGCCTCGAAGCAACACCGAATATCATCTCATCATATCAGAATCATATCTCATCCATTATTCATCCCCATCCATTCACCCATCCATCCATCCACCCAGCCAGCCAGCCAGCCATCCATCCATCCATCCGTGCATTTATGCAACCCCTAGACGGTAAATCCTTCAGAAAAGCCTTCCGCAAGCCCTTATAGAACCCTGAGTAAACTTACAAGCTTCTCTATGGAACCCTTCTATAAACTGCAAAACCCTTCAAATAAGCCTTAACCCTTCACTGGTATATCACTTTGTCATGCACAAAACGCCCTTCCAACTACCCTTCTACAGGCCCTTCTCGTGCTTTGCTCAAGTTACTGACGGGCTTCAGACCACGGCCGAGATGCTTGCCCCAACATGCTGGATTCAGAGAGTTGACCACAACGCTCCCCACCATGTATCGGCGTGATTCAAGAGGATAGCCAAAATTCTTCCCCCCATGTACGGAGAGAGAGACTCCCCTCAGGCGGTGGGATTCCATGCATATCGAGGTACAAGTCAACACGGCACCACACAGGCAGCGCCCCGCGTGCACCTGCAGGGTTGTCATGTCAAAGTCAACATTAAGCCAATGTATCGGAACATGGGTCGCGCTTACCACAAGACATGGTCATGCGGCGTCCACCTCAGGCTGTCAATTCCGAACACGAATCGTCGCGGCACCGCACATGCAGCGATATTTGGCACCACCAGATTGTTTCCCTCATGGACTGGCGGGCGGCCAGAGTCTTTTCCAATGTACTGGCGCGATTCAGGCGAATCGTTAGGGCACTGCATGCACACCACGATGTCGCCTGACCAAAATGCTTCTCCTCATTTACTGGCGGATTCAGATGGGATTCAGCAAACAGCACTGGCGGGATTTAACCATTTTGGGTTGAAGTCAATGCGGCACCACACATGCAGCGCTCGGACAAGCCGGTAGGGCTTTCATGCCGGTAACACCGAAATGTTCTCATGTCCACACCAGCATGAGGCCAATGCATTAGAAATTGCAGTGGATCGTTTCCACGGAGGAGAGGGTTGTCATTTTGCGGCCAACGTGAGGCTATGGTTGGCTTTACCGGAGGACGCGAACACGCAGCATCCGCAGAGAGGGCTCACACTTTCGAACACGGCCCCACATCGCAGCTCCATTTCGTGCGACTGGATGCTGGCTTGAGGGGATAGTTGTCGTATTTGAGGACGGGCGAATTGTCACGGCACCACGCACCAAGGGCAATTTTGCGATGCACAGCATTGCGCCATGCAAGCTCACGACAACCTGGTATGAGAGACAACCGCACATCAACATCGTCATCACGACATACTATCTTTTCATGCCATCCAAACCACTTCATGGAAAGAAGGCTTTGCCACGCTTTGGGGAAAACGAACTGCTTGTCTGCAGTGAACCCTCGGCGAAATCTTTGGATGGCGCTTGAGCAGGAATCGGCTCCTCCATCATGGGCATTGCGCTGATGTTTGGCATGCTGGTTACACCTTACGCCGAGGATGCTTTCGCGTCCCTCGGCTGATGCGGCAGCTCCAGCTGCGAGACCGTCTTTGAAGCTTCTCTTTCGTGTCCACCCGGTACCTCTTCCAAGGTACATGAAGGAGCACACAGCCCTGGCTCTGGGCATCGTTGCCGTCCTCATCGTTGCGATCGTTATGGCCACCAAGCGGCTGGAACGCAACACAGCGAGCGGGTATGAGCAGCCAGGGGATTCGTGAACTCCAAGACACCCCTGGCTTTGCGTATCTCCTCGACCCAGGTAGACACATGGGGAGTCCACGAAGTGCACAGTCCCCAGCCTACATGCTCGGTGCTGAGCTCTACCATGCCAGGTGGTGTCGAGCAGATCTGCACGCATGGGTCACAATCATGACCAGATGTGACGAGAACTTTGCATGTTCATGAGATTTCCAGGCGCAACGTCCGTTCGGGACGTGATGCAGTTTTCTGAGCGCGCCAAACCGGGTATCGAGTTTTCCATTGGAAACAAGATGCTGGTTTTTGCAAAGTGCCAGGGGTGATTGGAGTGCGAGCCTTTGTCTGTGTGTGGCGCGGGGCAAGGACCAAGGATACAGCTGTTCTGCTGGTCATCTTGGCTCATGGCAATCTCTAGGGGATTGAAATTGCCATCGAGAGATCCACAAACTCAGCCATGGCACCTCAGCCAAACTTGAAGTTAGAGACTCAGTGCGAAGATGGAAGCTTTGACATGCGAGGCTGCCCGTCGTTCCAACGGTCTCGGACCCGTGGTGCTGTTTGCAGCCGCGTGCTGGCTGGTGCTACTCGTCTCGGCATAATCGGCCATGTTCGGCCACCTCCGCGCTGCGGTCTCC